AGAACAATTAAAGCTACCTGTTGTGCATTCTCACATGCGGCACATATGTGATAGATATACCTTACCAATATATCTACATATATATCACACAATGCTGTTCATCAACAACACACTCCCTCCGGCCGTAGGGCTACGGCGCACAGGGCAGTCCTCTGACCTGGACCACGAGTAACGCCAACAACGCGGCTACAGTCAGTTCCCAGGGGTACGGATACACACCGCTCAACCAGTGGGGAGACCACTACTGGATGCTGGATGTGGACATGGACTGTTCACGGACAGAAGACGGTATGTAATGTAAACATTTCTGTCATTCGAGCTGCGTCACTGGACTGTTCTCAACCTTACTGCCCCATCCCCAACATTGGTGTAGGAATGTCAGTTTTGAAGGAAAGCCATTAGCGAATATCTTGAGTATCATGAAGAGAAGTTGAAAATATAATTGGACGAGTCAGGGCTCATCATTTTAAACCTAGCTTAGGGTCCTCTTTTAAATGTATATTGACCTTCCTTGTCGTCATGTATAAATATTAATCCTATACAGATCGGTGGGTCGGCTTTTTAAGGTCACCAAAGTTGCATGTAGCAATGATTTATTTTTTACTAGTATACGATCTTTTGAAAACTTGGTGGTCATATGACAAATACAAGTCCCCGTCCCATGACGATCAGAAACTCTTGGTCTCATTTCAATGTATTTATAGAGGTGAATATTTCATTGTTCCAGGCTGGTTTGAGTTGAAGGCTATTGTGGGTTATTCTGGCGGCGGTGTCCAGTGGGAGAGTGACCGGAACCAGGGGCCGTGCGGCGGCACAGCAGGCGGGACCAAGCCCTACTCCTCCGGTAACCACTTCGCACGCTGCGGCAAGATCAACGTCTTCGACTTTGACGGCAACACCTGTACCATCAACGAGTTTTAAATCTAGTGAAAAAAATAAACGAATACCTTTGCTGATTATTCTGTCTCTGTCTGTCTTGTTTCATAGATGGGATCTGTGTGTTTAAGGCAAATGAAGGGAGGAAGGGAGAAAGGAAATAAGAAAGAAAAGTTAAAAGAAGAAAGAGATAAAAATAAAAGTTTAAAGAAGAAAGAAATAGAGAAGAGAGAAATTTCATATACCTGTGACAAATATGATTTATGTACTCTTCCAGAACAAGCTGCTGGGGGGGGGGGGCGCTTACTTAACGTTTTTTCTGATTAAGATATCATTGCACGTCCAGGAGAGAAAATACTGGCCCTTTTACCTCCCATCTTTGATCTCTAGCTGGGTCTCTGAATTGAACATTAAAGGTAATCAATAAAAATACCTGCACTATGTCGCCATTCTTCAGAATAGAAAAAAAAAGGTACAGAAGGCGACTGTTCTGCTGTCGTATCGCTAGGGTCTCATAGTCGAGCTTATTTTCCGACAGACACTATAAATTTAAATTTAAATTCAAATTTCAAAATCATAATGTCCACCCGCTCACACACAATCCACCAACAAATAAATAGCTTGGTTACAAAAGATATTTTAGCTGCCAAGTCTCTTTCGTCCTCTGCAAATATAGAGACGACGAAAGAGACCCGGTAGCTAAACCTGTACTGTAGTTGAACTACATGTACGTTTGGTAGCCAGGCTACAAATAAACGGAATAGAAAACTTATTCAGTTCTTAGCGTGGCGAAGGTATTATTTAACGTTAAAAGTTGTTTTCAGTATCACTAAGACAGCGTTCTACTCAATAGTCCTTAATCCGTTCTTTTCCCCACGACCTGTAGCCTAACACAACCTGTACTGCTACACGCTTTGCACCAGATAAAACCCTGCCTGGCGCATGGGGGCGCATGGCCCGTACCGGGTAATCCAACCCGACCTACATTCTGGAACTGCCCAGCTGATGTAAACCAACGCCGTTGCTTAGCAACCGTAACATTTACATCCGGGAACTCCAGATCCAAGCCTTTTGTTTACAGTGTTGCCCCTTCATGAACATATCCAAGGGTTCCTTTGTGAAGACTTGACGTTTTTAGCGTTTCGAGAACACATTTTGGCGCTTTCGTCTCAGGATGGCTACTGTTTTGAACGACGGAAGGAACGTGATAAGGTTTAACAACAGTGAAGGCCAGACACTGCTGGAAAATTGGGTAGAAGAGGTGAGTGGGGCCATATGTTTTGCTGCAAGTTGGATTTGATATCGAACAACCCGGTCTAATAAGTCAAATTGTCTTGAGTTCTTTAATTTTTTTTTCAGTCAATTAAAGTTTCTTCGTCCCACCAAGGAGGTTTAGCTTCCACTGACAATTGACTTATTTTAATGCTCTTGTAGCTTTATTTTAGAATCAACGAAAATTTAATGTTTCGTATTTTCGCCGGCCATTTCCAATGAAATCACAGATTTGTTTTCAAGATCGTGAATCTTCATCGCATCGCTACACTTTTAGTTACTCAACTATTGCCACTCAAGTGTATTTTATTGGAACATGTCTCTGTTTGACATCAAACCGCCCAAAAAGTCTTGCTTATCCTATATCTCCTAGTTTTATGAATCATTATCGGAAATCGTCGGGGGGAGGGGGGCGTAATCCCAAACCAACAAAGCAACAAGTTATTAGGCTTTGACTGCCGTTTAAAGTGATCTACCAGACAAATGACTCCATTTCCTCGCTTCCGTGCACTTGGCAGTCCCTTTGTTGTCTGTGAATTGTGGTCACACGAGCCGCTTAGGGATAATAACTAGGTACTGAATTATTAATGCGGCTATATGCATTGCCATTATGTTGCAGAGACTGTCAGACTGTCAACTTGACTTTGGTTCATTTGCGAGTATCATTACTTCACCCAAAAGGGATTTAAGTATTGTTTTGGCATCTACAAGTAACTTACGTATAATATCAGGAATGTGTCTTCTGATGACATTTTGTTTCACTTTATTTAGAGACAAGTTCAACATCTGGATGAATATGTGCCAGAGGAGGGAACTACAGAAACTGTAAGTTTTAATCATTTTGAGATGAGTAATATCACTTTCTAACACCGTAGCCTGACCAGAAAGCCATTTTAAGACATGACAAAGTACTGTAAACTGACATTGAAACCATTGCATTTCATTTTCATTCATACGTTATGCTCAAGAAAGAACTTCATATGGTCCTTTATACAATCTTTTCCTTCAGCTAAGCACAGCCCAGGTACACAGACATGGACACAAGGGTCTCCTGACTACCAACCTGGAGGCACACCCAGAGAAAGTCACCACCTTCAGACACTCTTATACTGCACCTGACAAAAGTGGTGTCAGAACTGTCGGTAAGCATGGAGCTGTTTATAGTCTGTGTGACAGAAACTGATCTTGCTATTCAGGGTAGAGTGGTCCCTGATTTGCATGAAATTTAGTAGTCTTTTTGAATGAGGACCTTCATGTTTTCAACATGTCTTACTCATAGGAACAAATTCTTCTGAAGATGAAAGATAGAGTACCGACTTTGCTTGGGCTGTTTTTGAACTTTACAAGCCAATGTTATTTTAGAAACAGTAGTTCAGAATTTTTTTTCATAGTGAGCCATCACATGCTAATGGCATATTTATTTATTTATTCCTTTATTTCAGGAAAGAGGGAACAGTTACTGACCCAGGCTCTGTACCAGAAAGTGAGTGAAGATGTTCACCAGGAGTTTAACCCACCCCCTCCTCCAGTCGAGTACAAGTCTGTGACTGCCAAGGACTTCTGGGATGACAACTTTGTCCCCACAATGCCTGATCCCATCAAGGTTAGTGCACCAGAATTAATCATCCATAAGTAGTTGCATCAGACTTGTAAATCAGTGTTGTTGTTTTTAGTTCTTAGCTACACATTGAAATGGACTTTTCTAGAGGGCAAATATAACAAAACTGGAAAGGTAATCTGTAATATTGGCACATGACGACAGAAAGAAATTAATCTTTACTCTTTTGCAAGATTGAGTGTGAGGTCTATTATTGTGTGACTGTAACAAATTGTGTTATTGATTCACAGGACCATAGTGTGGAAAGGGAACAGCCTATGACATTCTGGTCACAACACAAGGACAAGATCCATGTAAGAAACTTTAATCAATTTCTTGTTCCTGTAAACTTTGCTGTACTAGGCATTTGGCTGTCACAGTTGAAGTTCAAGTCAATCTTACATTATTTTATCTTTCTTCCAGGGAGTTTCACAAGTCAAGACAATGGACACACCCTTCAGAAAGAATGCTGCCTTTAGTACACCAATTGAAGAATACAAGGATCAACCTAAACCATATGAACAGGAGCAGTATCCATATATGTAGATATATTAAGTTGTTGGCTAGACAGAGAAATTGTTACAATATAATGCTTAGCTTTCTGTAAGGAATTTTGTGTACAATCCGCTTGAAGCTCATTTTATCAAACATATTTTTAAGTGTATTGCAGTGGCCATACACTTTTTTGTACAGAAATGACACCAAGACTTCTAAAATCAATATGATTTCTTGTCATTTTGGTTTCATTCTCCATTTGATCATCTGTTCATTTATTCCTTCATCCATCCATCCATCCATTCACCCATCTACAAATTACAATGACGATTTGGCACCCATATGTAGATCATAGGAAATGTTCAAACACCTATTTTTTTGTACATAGGCTACCACTTACTCAGTAGGTCAACAGTGTGTCATATTTGACACAATCAGTCTGTTGTTGGCAGTGTATATGAACGTATGACTCAAAACTATCTCTTATGACTATCATGACCTATATGTTGACACATGTTGTATACATTTTGTAATGGAACAATTAAATACAAACATTTATAGGTGGTCCCACATTGAATAAAGTCACAGCACATTGAACTGTTGCCATTTGTGAAGGTGTCTTCTACGTGATTCTGACTATGCGAGTCCAATGTATCAGTAACCATAAACAGAAGAAAGCATATTATTTTAGTTTAAATGTGGTCACCAGGTTGGATGGAATACTGCTAGTCCTGGCAGTTCTGGGAATCACTGTGGAAATGAAATGGCTAGACACAAGCACAGCCCTTTCCATTAGATAACACTGTCGAAGTTGTTGTGTGCCGGTGGAGTAACAGGACTGTCCTGTTCCTGTAGAGTCACATACTTCCCAAACTCTGGGGCAGACACGTCGGGTAGGTTACACTTTCCTCTGTAGGAAGGGCCCTGCATGCAGAACAGTGATGTTGGCATTAATAAACTTCATACAATCCAAACAAAGCAGACTTATATGAATTCATGTATATCTGCATTTGAGCAAGTTCGATTTGAGGTAATCATCAATATTAACTTTATCTTAAATTGGTTACCCAAAGTTTCTTTTAATGATAACTCTGTAGCCATGGGGCTCATTACTCTAGATTTTTATTTCAATAACAGTTTCAATAATATCGCCTTGGTACAAAGGGAACTGAATGTCTCTATCATTTATTTATTAATGAAATAAATTACATGCTGGCCAAAGTACAGGGCAGAAAATGAGGTATGACCACTTTAGAACCAGTGTATACATAGAACCACAAGTAGGATTCTCCAATTTTTCAAGTGGGCCTTGATAATCATTTTTATAGCTTTTCTCAAATTCCCTACTACCTTTGTTCTCTTGGCACTTCCGTTCACGTCACTCTGCTCCAATGTGCGTGTCCCCTGCAGTAGGTCTTTCAGTTCGCCAGGGGGCCTGTACGTCAGTTCTATGTCTCCTCGTTCGCAGTACTTCAGAAGTTGACGTTGGATTCGTCTGGAAACAACAGTTGTTATTGATGGTAAATGCATATGAAGCACAAAAGCAGCATAGCTATATTTAATTGAAACAAGACGCACCGACAACAAAACCTCACGTAGTAAATAAAACGTTTTCTCCTAGCTACTTCCATAACAACGTATGTAACGTATGAAAACAACGTATGTAATGTATGTAACACAAAGAATGAATACATAGATGAGGAAATAAATTAACTTCTTGTTCAAAAAGGACCACATGCAATTTTATTGTTTACTATTTGTGTTATTTCCTCTATCGATCGTGATAACTGTTTTAAGTCTCACTGTGGAGTGAATTATGTGACCTGTCCCTGGTGCTGATCGGTCATCACGTGATGCATCATGCCGGGACCCCGTCTATCACCTGACGTGTTGACCTAGTCACGTTCTATGCTGAGCGTTCGACATGGCAATCACGAATCTCTACTTATTAATGACATCATTTGTACTACTCACAATCTCTTGTAGGAAATGACCGCTAGGACGATGACCACCACCAACAGAACGATGACCGGAATGAGGATGGCGACCGTGATTCCAGTCTGCATCGTCCATCTACTCCCTAAAATAAACCGTTATCATAGGTTAAACATTTTTCCATAGACTTTATAATATGACACAATGGGTCCCTATATAGTAAACAAGAGTTCGGAGAGCCCCATACCTCCTCGAGATATTTAGAGCTGTTATGTCTTGCCTCATTGATTAGATTATGGAAAGAAGGTTGTGATTAACATAATCTATTTTATTTGATGGTCTTTTCTACCGATTTTTACTAAAATGTAAATAGCTGCCTCCGCTGCATGTTGGTACCCCTATGACAACATGTGGAAACGCTCTATAGAATACGTTTAGAAAGGATCAAAAAGGTTTGAGGATGTTTTTCTGACTTTGACTATGTATGTTTGATGTTGATTTGGACTAAGCTGACCGTGTCTGTGTCCTGTTGATCCGTCACATGGACAAGGGTGCCGCGATCCTTTAGCATCCGGCAGGCCTTGCGGCTTCCGGTCTGTATTGGCCGGGGACCTTGTCGGAAAGCTGACGGTTTCCGGTTGTGGTCTTCCCGGAGGTCTGAAAGTGAAGTCTGCCAAGAAAATATGGTGATGATTATGAGCCACCTTATCCAATTGCATTGTATCATATATCACTGTAAAGTTATTTTGACTATTCTTTGCCATCTACAATGGTTCAAATTTTCCCTGACTCTACATTATACTCATTATACCCATGCCCTGATACTCATTATAATAGGCAGCCATTGGTTAAAAGTTTTTAACCCTACCGTATTGTGACATGCGCAATATTCTTTTTACGGTGACACAATTTCAGAAGACAACTCAACCTACCCGGCGGAATACCATCCTTCGGTGCTTCAGCTGTAGAGTACGTCGCACGAGGTTCTGCCTTCGTTGTCTTCTGTACCGGTGTTGTAGGCTTCGGGTCCGGGATAGGATCTAAAAAAGTAAACTGTATTTCAGTATGTGTTTTTGCTACTTTTCCCCCATTCTTGTATCTTTTGTGGCTTGCTTAATTGAAAATGTAGAACAAATATGTAGAGCGAATATTAGAGACAGGGTCTCTGAATCAAATGAACAGGTAAACAGAGAACACGTGATTTGTAAAGCCGTACTTTCTGGTGGACAGCGACCCGCTCGGAAAGTGACGTCATCCAGTCCGATCCGTGCCTGGCTGCTCTGCGACTTGTGACCTTCAAATCTGATCTAAAACAACGAATGCATAATATAATATTAAAGACGTAACGACCAGTGATGCTTACCGAATGGTATAGTCACATGCTGGGTGATTTCTTAGCTTCACATCCGCAGTAACTACGTCTACATCACCCCTAGCACCATTCTTCGTGTATTTGAAAACTCATTGGTCTATGCTTGCTTATAGATTACAATAAATCAACCGCACATTTTTACGTATTTCTAAAAAGAATGCTACTGTGAATAATTTTTTAAACGAGTAACCCTTGTGGATAAACTAGATTTGCTAACCTGAAATTTTGATGTTGGCCAGATGTCGACCCTGACCGGCGTCCATTGCGCCCCGACCTTGCCCTTGTTGTTCCACAGTTTCCTCACGGCGCCCCCTTCCCGATCGTCTGGTACACCGTCAGTCCGCTCGACCCGTCAGCCTAGTGGTACCGACAGGAAACAGGCGAGAAACTTTAGTTTTTTTTTATTCATAGAATCAAAAGTGTTAACAATCACGAAGAGTTAAACACTTTCGCAAGTTTGATTCTCGACATTTGCAAGACTTTTTTCATGAGATGGTATAACATCAAATGTAAAAGCATAAGTTAAAAACCTAAAAACAAAATTATTCAATAGATTGTGACAGACCTGTACATAGACGAAGAACTCCAGACAGTAGATGCCGTCTGCAGTCATCCATGGCGTGAGGAGCCAGGCTAGGTTACTGCGGGTGTCCCCCGGGCTGCCTCCGCTGGCGGCTACCTGTACCATCATGTAACTTCCTACAGAATTTACAGTAACAAAAAGGTAAGGTTAACCATAAAATGTATTACACACGCTAAGCAGTTTGCTACAGTACCATGGGAAGCCACTAGGGCTAGAAATTGTCCTTTGTAGACCCCTACTGAAATCTCTAATACATGTGTCATAATGATCTATCAATAACTCACACATACAAACAAACCCACACATGCTACTGAAAATATAATCGTCTTTGGAAGGCAGGACTCACCTTTTCCAGAAGTATGGTCCTTCAAATCGCCTGTACTGCCCCGTTGTACCCAGGTTAGCTGGGACCTGGTAGAAGCGGCTATGTATCCACACAGACTGCTGTCGTCAAAACTACACGTCAGGCTGGATGGTAGGACGGGTGCGGCTGTCGTCTGTACAGGTGGTGTGCTTATCGTCGTAGAAAACGGTACCGGTGTTGTTGTGACCACTGCTTCTGTTGCCAATGTGGTCTCCACTGGAATTATCGATTTTGTGCAGTAAGGAAAAATTCCGCTAGGAGAGCGCTATAAGTTAATGCTGCGCAACTTGTGCTGTTATACAGCTCAAACGTTTAAAACGAAAGAGAAAATGAGGGGCATGCCGGGAAACATACCTATAGTACACGGACCGTCTTCAAAACTGACGTCATCCAGTGCTATGTCTCCTCTGGCTTTCCTACCGCGGACTGCCTCAAATACAACCTATGGGCGGCAACAAAACGTGGGACTCGAGGGTGTAAAAACATTCAAAGTTTTAGTAAAAGTCGACGCGGCTGCTTTCTCATCTTACACAAAAGACATATTGAGCTCCATTGACTCAAGCAAGACTATCTATACTTATAATACTATTTAGTGCGATTTACGCTAATGGAAAAGGGATTCTATATCAATATTTCAACGACGAATAATTATTGGGTTTTTAGGTAGATTATCGGTGTTTACAAAAGACACTAGCGAAAGTAACACTGACATACGCCCCTGCCCTTGAAACGTTTCCAAAATCATATTAGAGAGCGAAATTTACCTGGAAAGTCTGGTTCGCCTGTATGTTGACCTTGCCTTGGTGCCAGGTAGGCCCTTTGTTTCCTTGTTTACTCCACACAGGTGCGCCGACGTCATTTTGGGACAGGCGCAGGTAAACATTTAACTCCCCCATGAACTGTCCGTACATGTGGTACCAGAACACCAGGCATTTAGGGAGAGGGAAGGGGCGGAGGTTCGGAGTCATGATGCGGGCGTGGTGGCCTTCTTGTCTACGGGATGCCTCCATGTATAGGTACTTCCCTGGGAGAAGGCCAAAGCACTGTCACCATTATGCAATATACCAATCATCTAAACTAATGCAATGTGACCTATACTTTTATAGAACAATTGATGGTGAATTTCTATCGAACACAAACCCTCACTAGAATTATCGATTTTGTGCAGTAAGGAAAAATTCCGCTCGGAGAGCGCTATAAGTTAATGCTGCGGAACCTGTGCTGTTATACAAGATTTCTTACGTTCATTTTTCTAATAACGGTGCTGTTAAAAGACATGGAGGACACTACAAGTTATCCGGTACATTTGATCCACCGTACATTCCTGGGGCGTTAACAAGTAC